CGATAAAAAAAAACGTCACGCTAGCCGTTCATTCTCTCTTTCTTTCTCTCTGTCTCTCTCTCTCTCTCTCTCTTTCTCACTCGCTCGTTGCACATACAAAGAATAAACTTTGCTGGCGCAGGCATATACATATAGATTTGCACGCTGTGAACGATGTGTAGGCGCGCACGAGAAAGCAATACTTATAGGGTAGGTCACGCTATACGCAACAGAACACGAAGAAGAAGAGGAGGAAGAGAAGAAGAGAGCCGAGTATGTGTGTCTGTGTCCGTGTGTGCGCGAGTATTTGTGCGAGCGAAAGAAAGAAGGAGGAGATGGAGGCACTGCTTGAGTCGCGCAGTCCGAGAGGGGATATTCATGGAGTTAGCACTTGCGGGCATTATCTATATTCACGAGGCAAAAAATGTCGCACAATCATTTCGCGTACATAGCTATGTGCTCGTTTAGAAAAAGTCGCGCGAGTTTACTACTGATTACTCTTTTTGCCGACTAATTTTTCAAAAGTTCAGCTCCGCGCTGCGGTAAGGAGTTGAGAAAAAAAAGCACGCGATTGAACACAAGCGATGCATATTATAAAACTCGAAGCTCTCGCGCCCATACATACTCTCTTATGCATAAAAAAAAAGTACGTGATCTCGCGTCAGTATATTGCAGCATATACACGAGAGGGAGCGAGAGAGAGAGAGAGAGAGAGAGAGCCGCCGCCACTGCGTGCATACATAACGAACGATTACTGTATATAAAATCTTCCTTACTCTCTTTTCGTCTTCTTCTTTCTATCTCACGCAGACCATCTCTCTTTCTCTCTCTCACTCTACGCCGCAGCCGCTGCTGCTGCTGCTGCTGCTGTTTCTGTTCCTATACGTATAAGCGTTTTAATTTTCTCTCTTTCGCTCTACTCTCTTATACACAGACGCGACGTTGAGACCTTTCACTGCACGTTATATATTCTTATCGTTGGCAATCATGCAATCTACGGAAAAACTCGCTCTCTCTCTATGCTAGCTCGAGCGCGAGCCAGCCAGGGTTATATCGAGCCTCTCTCGCTCTCCGCAAGACGTTATAATTTTGTGCGTGTATTTACTTCTAATGGCCGCCTTACACGATACAGCCTTTCTTTTGCAGGCTTCATATGTATATAGCGCGGCAAAGCACAAAAAAGCCCTTGGGGCAATAATAGAATGTACATACGTACCGTACGTGTAAGTGTACGTTGGTAAGCGCTTCGTATATGTGTATGTATATGCGTTGGCCTGCCTAGACCAAATAGAAAAGGGTTTGAGACAAAGACCACAGCTGAATGCAGGAAAAAGATTTTTTTCTTTCGGAGAAAGGGTTAACGTGCGCTAAGCTAGGCAACGGTGTAGCCGTGTTCTATGAGCGCGTACCATTACTCGATTTACAAACGTCTTGCGCACGGACGACAGAACTTTTCGTTGCATAGGTTTTCAGGGGTCTGCGAATCAATCCGTTAAACTAATTCGAATTTCGTCCTCATCTTTTTGACGCAGTGCTTGAGTCACTGTCCGGTTGCTCTCTCCAGGTGCGTTGACCTTTGCAAAACACTTTTATATATAAATAAATCTTGCATTTAAAATTACTTAAGCCCTTGAAGATTCTCACTGCCGAAAATGTGCCGCGCGTCAAGGGTCTCTACGAACGGTTAAATAACATTCCAGAGTAGTCCGTCTCGAGAGAGAGAGTGTATGAGCGAAAATGTAGCAAAAAACAATGTGACGTGCTGCTGCTGCGTGTCGCCAGTTCTCGCATCCGAGAAAGGGGCGAAGGGAAATTTTTGCGTTGAAGGAGCCGTGAGACAATAGAGCGCGCGAAAGCATAACTTCACCTATACACCTTTGCGTATGTACCTCGGTGTACGTGTGTACACACTCGGGGTACCTACGGGCATTTTTTCCATGAAAATTTTTTCCGAACGCGCTCCCCGATTTACATTTGCGGATCCGGTTTTCGGGCTTTCGCGGTGTATACGAGCCTGCGTGAGATGTTGCCACAGGAGCAGCTGTATGCAGCATGCGATGATGACGTCGCCGAAATAGAATTGTTATTACAATGTTTCCGTTCGAGTGTGTCTTGCGCAAAGCAATAGTAAGTACCGAGAGCTAGCAAAAAATTCCAAGTTGACTTTGGAGGTATAGAAAATGTTCAAGAGCCAAAGCAAGCTCGCGAGAGAATTTTTTCTCATTAAGAAAATAGTAAATCGGCGAACAATCCGAGAGCTGGGTCAATTTGTTTTCTTGCGCGCATCATCATCATCTCACACGCGGCAACTCGAAATTCCAATGGATATATCGCTAAAGCTCGGATATACGTCGGACATATCATCACGAGCAGCTCGAAGGGTCGGCCAAGTGCTTCAGCCAGTCGAGAGAAATCGAGCTACGAAAAAATTCATTTGAATCCCCTGGCCATGAAAAAAAGGGGTTGCTCATCATCGTATTCATATGTAGCGAATGTACGCGGCTACGCAGCCGTACATTTAAGATAAAAAAAATGAATATGATGTCGAGCGCGCGCGAGGCGTCGAAATAATTGAATTTCAATTTGCGCGAGTGTCGCGGCACGCAAAAACTCCCCCGAAAGAGAAACACATACAGCAGGACGCGTATCATGAGCAGAGTTGGTTTTTGAAATTAGTCCATGAGAGCGAATGTGTACAAGCGCGGCTCGCTGCTCTCTGTTTGAGTAACACCTTTTTTTCGCGATTCTCACGTGTTCGTACACGCATACGTACACGCTCTCTCCTCTCGGCTGCTGCGCCGAATAAATATACATTTTTTCTCGATGCTACCCCCTATCACTTTCGCTCTCGTGCATTATTTACGATATACACCGAGGGGCGCGAAAAATCGAGATTAAGTGGCTGCTTATTGGCTGTTATTCTTTCTTTCAACCTCTGTTTCAAATGTTTGACTTTTAATCAGCATATAATTGCATTGCGATTGCATTTAACGAAATTGAGAGTAATTTTTTGCTGTCGTGTCGTTAGCGAAAATTAAAAAGTATCCGAATAAACAGTGCCGGTGCGGTTTTACCATTATCTCATTATAGCCGCTTTTAATTGAAAAATATAATTATCGGTTTTAAACTAGTTAAACGCTGTATGAAGCTCGATCCATTAATAATGCACTGCCTGTATACGTGTGTGTAACTTTTTCAATACGATAAAAAGCATCGTGCGTTAAACTTTAGAGTGAAAAAATATTTGCAGTTAAAAATGTTGAAAAAAAGTCATCAAAGTTTTTCATTTTATCATTAAATAAAAATGTTACATGGGTGGAAAATGATCTCGCTAACTGTGAGCGTTCTTTTTTCTTCTTCTCGCGTTTTCCTGTTGTCAAACCTCCCACACATGAGCGAATCATCTGGTTAGTACGCGAAACTTTTGAAAAAAGCCCAGCCCTCGGCTTTACAAAGTTTGCCAGCACCTACACGCGATTTTCCTTTAGCCGCAGGTTTAATTAAAATATATTCGCTTTTCTCTTCTCGCAAGGTTGATCCTTCAATATTTTTATCATTTTTCAGCCCCTTCAAACCATCAATTTCATACCGTTTTTTGTTGTATATAAAGTCGGAGGGCTCAACTTACTCACACATGCCTGACCTTTTTTCCGCTCTTAAGGGGAAACGACGGATTGGAAAAAAGGGAACGATGTGCGTGGGCCGGTCACCCTTCTTCCAGTCGGGCGATTTTTTAAGATCGCCTACGTTTTCAAGACAACCCTTTTTTTGTAACGCACACATGCTTAGTCAATCGTTGCCTGAAGCCTGTTCGCGCCAAAGTGACAAGTCGATAGAAAAAAACACCCATGCGTAGCGACAGTCATACTCGCAAGTGTGTTGGAACGCAAAGGGACAATATTTCAACATCTATATTTGAAAATTGATTTTATAAAACGTGAATGAAATTAAATGCCCGGAGTTTTAGTACAGCAATTTTTCTTCAGTAGATAAGAAAAATTTGTTTATCAATTAAAAAGTCGAGAGAAAAGTGGAAAAGAAACAAGGCTAAAGTAAATGCATTTATGTGAATGTACAAGGAAAAGTTACCCGAAGTAGTACTCGGAACGTGCCGGAGAGAGAGAGAGAGAGAGAGAGAGAGGGAAAAGAACTCGAAAAGATAGAAAGCAATATTGCAGTAAGCAGCAGACACTCGTTGCTTTTTCTCTTTCTCTCTTACTAGCTAGCGTACGATTTGGACAGCCCCTGTGGAGGCGAAAAAATAAAAAAAAACCACAAGTACAAAAGAGCACTGGCTACTTAAGGAAACAAATTGTTGCTTCGTCCGGAGAAAGAGAATTTAAAAGTTTTTACCGTAGTTTTGCTCCGGCTTCTTCTGTCTATCTTACTTTTATTTTCTTGGCTAAGGGGTGAGAGGGGGCTAGGCATGTATATACGGGCTTTCTTTTTCTGCATTCACCTTTGCAGATACAGTGGGCGCACAGACTCATAAAACTACATTCAACGTTCGTTAGGTGTACTTTCTTTTACAGCAGTTTTCACTGGGAGGTAAGAAAAACTTTTTCTCGCGAATAAATTGATAAACTTCTTTTTTAATGGCTCGGCAATTGCGTCCGCTTATTCTCACATTCAACGACATAGCATGGGAGTTTCCCAGATACGTGCTCGCAATTGATGCACGGGGCAAGGAGTTTATCGTAGGTAAAAATATTTAATAGTTACTGTTTGTAACTATACGTATATCAATATATTAGTAAGAACATCAAAAAACAACATCGATTAGACAAACATCAAGCACCATGCAAAATGATAAAAAATTTGATTGAGATGAGTGATGAAATAATAATAACGATTGAACATGCCAAAAATTAGGGATGTGTGCAGTATCGATGGTGAACTGCGTATAATAAAAGAAAAACGAACGAAAAAAATGCGGGCAAAGCCAAGGATATGAAAATTTGGTATGGATGTTTGAGGTCAAATTATTATGTTTGGCCAAAAGGGCTGAGCGTTCAACTCACTCGCTGCAGAGTGGACCAGCATTCCTCGAGGGTGCGATCGTTGATGTTGGGCAAGCCACCGGCGTTGCCGGCACCCGTGCCACCTCCTCCTCCGCCGCCTGTCGCATTAGCAGCGGCGTTCCCTAAGAGACCAGCCGCCCGAGACTGCAAAGTCGACGGATGACCAAGAAGGAGAGAAGGGCGACGATCCAAACCAAGAAGGCGTAGCGAGGCGCCACACGGCCGCACAAGACAGATAGAGAGCTCGGCATTAGTCGGGATCTTTGTCTTTGATCTTGACCATCAGTTATGTTTGGAACTTGCGCGAGCGCGTTTCAACCCTGTCCCTGTCGCTCCCCCCTCTCTCTGCACTACCGCTCCTCGCTCCATCCGATCTACCTTTCTCCATAACGGAGATTCAGGCAAGAATGGAGCGAGAGAGAGACAGTGCGAGAGAAAGACAGGATGATATGCTAGGGCAGATGACCTAATTAATGACCCCGATTCGACCGCGAATAAGTTGATTTATTTTGAAACTTTGACCCGACGAGTCGATATTTGAAATTAGTTCCATTGGTCATTTAATGAGTTATTCCGACATAGCGTGATTGAAATTTCTAATCTTGCGAGCATAACGCGCAAGCCTCGTCTGGGCGTCTAATGCAGCTCATATTATAGCGTACACGCATCTTTCTCTCTTTCTCTTTCTTAAAACATGGCATTACATACATCACGCGAACTAAACTCGGGCTCTCGATATATATTTTCCTTCTCTCTTGGCCGCGGGTAAAAACATTTTGCTCGTATACTCGACTTGTGCAGAAGGTATATGTACACATACGATGACGTACACACGCACACACTTATATATACGCGCGCGCGCAAAGAGCGTATTATCTCTGCAGTGCAAAGCAGCGGGTCAAGAACCCCGCCGAGACGTATCTTCGCTCTCTCTCGCGCGCTTTCGCGCGTGTGTGTGTGTGTGCATGTGCTGCGCTGTGTACGTTGGTGCTGCATTCACATTAGGTGGTGCGCGACCCGCTGTGCAGCTCAAGCGCTGCCAGAGAGAGAGAGAGAGAGAGAGAGAGAGAGAGAGAGAGAGAGAGAGAGAAAGACGTGCTGAGCGAACGCGCGAGCGCGAAAAAAGATGCATGCGAGCGGCACGTTACTTTGCATCCACGCTTTAATAGTTGACCCGACATGGACTGAGAGAGGAGCGCGATATGCTCTGCCACCGCTATGTACTTGCTACTTTTATTTTTTTTATTTTATTTTTTTTCGCATTTTTCACGAACGAGCTTGTTTTTCCTTTCAGTTAAGAGTTTCTTTCTCGCCTAGCTTTCGTGGGAAGCTCGGGGGCTTACACGTGTAATATACTTCGGAATGTATTTTTACGTAATTACATACACATACTTTCATGCGTACGCAATTAAGTAATAGCTCTGCGCTGATAAGAATAAATTTCAATAATGGTTAATGTATGCGCAACGAGACCTACCTGTAATTCATTGACAAGCTTCTCGGCCAGAGAGGCATCGTGCGAATCTTGGCTGCCAGCGCCAGGACTCAGTATGGAGTTTTGCGAATTTTGTTGCTGCTGCTGTTGTTGATTGCTCGTCACGTTCATGCCAGCCAATCCGCCGTTCTGCGTTATCGAGTTGGCCATGTTGATGGCCTGCTGCTGGAGATTCTGCGCCAGATTGTGAGCCTGCTGCTGCTGCAACGTCTGTTGCTGCTGCTGACTCAGGCTCTGGCTCAGATTCTGCGCCTGCTGCGCCAACTGCTGGCTCAGATTTTGCGCTTGATTTTGTAGATTCTGCTGTAGATTCTGAGTCGCTTGGCTCAGATTCTGCGGCTGATTGAGCAGCTGCTGCTGTTGCTGCGGCGATAGGCTCGGCGTCAGGCTCTGGGCCAAATTGTGTTGCAGGGTCTGGCCAAGGTTCTGCTGCATGTTCTGCTGCAGAGCTTGACTCAGCGCTTGACCTAAATTCTGATTCAGTGCTTGGGCAGCTTGCACGGCCTGCACGGCGAGCGATGGACTCGACGCCTGGGACATGGACTGCTGCTGCTGTTGGGCTTGCTGCTGGGCCTGCTGCTGAGCTTGCTGGGCTTGCTGAGCGAGATTGTGCAAGCTCTGGGCCATGCTCGTGGCGATGGCGTTCGCCTGATGTTCCGCTGCCTGCGAGGGCGACGGTGTGGTTGGAGCCGACGAAGCTTGATGCTGGCCGGCTTGCTGCTGTCCCATCGACATGGCGTGCTGTGCTTGCTGATGTAGCTGCGACACAGGACTCTGTCCCAGACTGCCGTTGGCGTTGTGCTGCTGCACCTGCGCAGCGTTGGTCTGTTGCGCCTGCTGTTGCTGATGCTGCTGCGGCTGACCAAGCGGACTGTGCATGGAATTTTGTTGATTGTGTTGATTCTGTTGCTGCTGTTGTTGCTGTTGCTGTTGTTGCTGGGCCTGCTGTTGGGCCTGCTGTTGGGCCTGCTGCTGAGCCTGCTGCTGGGCCTGTTGTTGCTGCTGCTGCTGTTGCTGCTGCTGTTGGTGGGCTGAGTTTTGTAAGGGACTGTGTTGCATACCTGGCGAGTGCTGAGGTGGCCCTCGCTGGGGCTGTTGCCAGTAGTCTGACATTTTGAAAACATGCTGGCGCAGAGCATGGAGATTGGCCGCGGCGGCCGACACCGCCGAGGTTTGGACCTCCATTGGCTCCGGCACCGGTGGCAGCTCCGGTTCCGATGAGCTGGCCTCCTCGTCGTCCTCCTCGTCGTCTCTCTCGGTAATGTCCTCGTCCTCGACGTTGTTCGCAAGCTGCTTCGCGGGCTGTCCAGGGCCCGCGAGCTGGTCGGCTGCAGCAGTGTCACCACTACCGCCGCCGGCCCCTCCTCCTCCTCCTCCGCCCTCTAGCCCACCCCCCGAATCTCCAGAGTGTAGGTGATTGCTCTGATGATGTTGGGGATGGTGCTGCTGCTGGAGGTGCTGCTGATAGGGCGGATGAGTCGGCCGGACCTGGTCGGCTGGACTATCTGCCGCTGCGGCTAGTTGGTGTACCGCCAACTGCTGCTGGTGGTGGAGCTGCTGATCCAGGCCAAAGTCCGATTGGGCTTGCGACTGGGAGCGCAGGTCCAGGGCCGCCGTCGCGTCCGAAATCTTGAGGCCTTCGCGAGAAGCCCTGGCTACCCCCTTACGGCGCAGCTTGCTCGCTTTTTGGCACTCAGCTGGGGGCGCGAAGCAGCTCTGGACGACGCGTCACTCGTCGTCGCCTACCGAGGGCTCGGCCTCACTCGCGCCTTCTCGGCTCCTCGTCGTCCTCGTGTTGTCGGCGACGTCGTGGTCGTGGATGAGCTTAGCTGAGCTCGCCTCGACCCACGACCGCTCGACCTCTGATTATCAACGGTGGCGTCAGTTTGTACACTGATACGCCTCTGCTGCTGCTGACTTGCTGCTTCTGCTGCTCGTTGTTGTCTGGCTCATCAAACTTGATTATCTGCTAATTCAATGAGTCGATGATGATGACGCTAATATCTGCTAAGGTCGCTGCTGCAGTCTTCGTTGTCGATGTTAATGATGTTTGAACTTTCCTCCTATTCCTCCTTGTAGTTCGTTTGTGTAATAATGTCGTCGGTTATGTCGAGGATTGTCGTCTGTGATTTGTGCTGTGGTGAGTATATTATCGTGCGCGCGTGTTTCTACCTGAGTAGATGTGTGTGGGGGGTGAGTAGTCGATTCGGATGTCCTCTCACTCGAAGGAGGACAGCCTCTTCTTTTATTCTTCTATTTACTTAAACTCTATACGTACACTTAAGTTCAGGTTAAATTCAGGATTGCCCAGCCCGGACGGTGTGAACGAGAGTCGGAGGTTCACGGACACTTTGACGACTGAGATTGATTATTTTGGTCGTCCAAGTATTACTATACATTTAACGAAGGAGATTTGATTTTTTTTTTTTTTGGTGATTCGAAGAATTCGTAACTGTTGTAGGTTGAGATGTGCGGATTGAAATCACTGCTCGTTCCGCGTTGCCCTGAGTACTTTTATTATTTTAAGCCCTTTTTTTATGTGTGTACTGCGTGTGTGTATGTCGTGTTTGTGATGAGAGACTATTCAAGTCTTCTTGGTGACTATTGTTATAGATTCAACGGAACGTCAGTTTATTATGGTTTGCCACTGATATTTTACCTGAATTCTTCTTCGTTTGTTTATGATTGGTCACTCCTTGTCCTTCACTATGATAAATCGTCGTAAATGTCCGTAAAAAACTCCCTCTCGAGAAAAATGCGACTCTAGTATTAATCTTGAAGAGGTTATTTTTCTTTACTTTTTTATAATCAATTATCGATTACCGCGTCGTACCGATCGTCAATGGTAGTAGCTTTTACTATCATTTAATTAATATTGCACTTAGGTACACTCGTTTGTTGAACACACTGAAATATATTTAAGTATGCGGCGCGGGGTATCGATTATAAACTTCCTCTTCTTCTTTCTTCGTCACTCGATTCTTTATCACTCTTCACTCTTCTTCTTCTTCTCACTGCTTCGATGATTCAAGATTTTCATCTGTCAACCTCGTGACTTTCACTGATACTATTAAAACCTTCGATTTGCTACTACCCCGCTTATAATCGTTATTATTCTTCCGCTCTTCTTGTGCTCGACTTCTGCTTCGACTCTTGTCTTATTCTGCTTTTTCCGCTTCGTCCAGTCTTCCTCTCCTGCGCGGGAATAACTCGCTGTAACGCGTCTCCCGCTTGAAGCTGTAATCATTGCAAAACAAATGGAAACATATTTTTACTACCGGTTTTTAAGAAAAATTTATCTTTATCTATCGATTCAGTATTTATACGAAAATAAAAATTTTATCTTATTATATCGAGTAAAATATATTTAGCATACACAATAATATCGGAAATAAAAAATAAAACTAATTTCGGTCGATTTCGCATCGATAAAGTTCGATGAAATTTATGATCTGCATACGACAATAAATCAGGAGAAACGTGTTAATACGTCTTATGGTTGTATTTCGAAGAAGTTAAGAATACGGGTAAGGTCGAAATGTCTTTAGAAAAAAATTTGTCACTTAAAAATGAGTGTAAACACTAACCTAGTGTGAGGTGTATGAATGCAGTTGCAAATGATTCAACAGATGCGTCTTACCGTCGCAACGAGTAATGCAGAAAATATGAATTGTGAACTAGTTATTATGACTGTAGAAAATTGAACTACATATTGATACAAATTCAGAGATAGAAAATGATATATATGATAATTGAGAGTGTCGATTAAATACTATTTTCAATGGTTAAAAAGTAAATTGATCAGGTTAAATTAATGATCTATTTCTCATAGAAAATTTAAATTCTAATATTTTTCAGTGAATCATATTCATAACTACTTTATTCATTCACGAATTGAAAAAAAATATTTACAACGATATTAAGATTATAATGAAGTCAGCATGATCATCGATAATGAATTCGGCAAGTGTCGAAAAAAGATGAAGTATGCATGCTGTTACTAAACGCTAAATAAGTGAAACCTTTTGAAAGATTTTCGAACAACTATAGCATTAATCATTGCCGTGCAGTCACAGTCTTAAATGCGATAATAACACGTCAGTTGATTATGTCCGTTAGCTGGTTTCAGTTTCAACGCGTTGCATATAAACATGTGCCACTAGCGCGTTGAACAGGGGGGTTCACGTCAAATACGCGAATGTGAATTTATCAATCCGTGAATGTTTTTTTATTTGTAATGCGCCACGAATGAATCACCATATGGTCGGTACAAGTCTGTACCGATCGGTTTTTTTACAACTCACGCACTGGTGCATTATATCAGTTAATGTGTTGAGGAAAAAATTTTTTCTTCCAACACTTGTTCACTTTCGCCGAGACTCGCTGAAAACGCAAGTGTGCACTTGATTTACGTCGTAGCACGTCAGGCGAACTTGCATCACCGCACTTCAAAACTTTTGTTGACTTAGAGTGTAAACAGTTTGATGAACGAACTATATGATATAATTTACTTCGTCACCAAGCCACTAAAATTTCACACAAGTCATGTTGAAGCAAGCCGATGATCACTTTTCATCGAATCAGTTGACTTTAACGACAGTCGAAAGTATCTGAATTTTGCCGCCAAAGTCATAATATAGCTGTTGAGCAGTCGCTCGCGGCACAATAATGACTGGTGACAGCAGTAGCAGCAGCAGCGGCAAAATGTGTCGTCGGTGTCGATACTCGACGAAAGCACAAAATTATTTCACACAAACTGCTGCAAGCTCCAAGTCGAGAAAAATCTCCAAGTGCGGTGACGGTGTTGTATAATGCTGTTGCATAAATGCGGTGGCTGCTTACGGAAAATCAGCGTTGCACACACAAGTTCTCGGACTCGTGCGAGCACGAGAGTTCAAGTCCAATGTTGACGTTGCCTCACTGCCAAGTCACTGCCGAATATCAACAGTAACATGAGCGCGCGTACCGTATACCATCATCGAGAGAGTACTAAGTGTAACGGCAAGTAAGAAAGTCTGCAAGCTCTGCAGGGGGTATCGTAAGGTTCGAGGGCCAAGACACGACTGTTCGTAGCAGCCGCAATCGTGCAAGACGTCGTCTCGTCGTCGTCGCCGTCTCCGTCGACGACGGCGATAAGCGTTCAAGCGCTCGCGAGGGAGGAACAGAGCGAAGAAGAAGAAGGCGGCCGCAAGCTCCTTTTCTCTCTCTCCGTCTCTCTCTCTCTTTGCCACCCCGCTTACTTGCTTCCGTGTATGTGTGTAAGTGTGTGTGTGTACGCGTGTGTGAGAGTGAATCCTTCACGGGCGAAGGAAGCGAACTGACTCCGACCCCCTATTTCTCCGAGCGCCCGAGTCCTTAATGCTTCACTCGCGAAGGAGGGTGGTGGGCTCTCACGTAGTAAGCAGCAGCAGCAGAAGCAGCCGCCGTGGCGCACGTCTCGGAGACCGCGTGCGTCTCTCGGAAAAGCAGCCACCCCCTTCTGGCAGCGCGCGTGACTCGTGCGCCTCTACCTTAAAGAACCCTGCTCTATCTCTCTCTCTCTCTCCGTATTCCATGGAAAGCGTAAGAGGGGCGTTGTCTTAGGCAGCCGCGAGAGCGAGAGAAATTTCTCCTTACGCGCGCGAGGAAAGACCGCGCGCGCGCCTGCGACCAGCGGCAGCGGCAGCAGCTAGCTGCGGCTGCTACCCGACTAAAAGCTCCTCGCAAAACAAGGAGAAAGAGAAAAGCGAGAGAGAGAGAGAGAGGAGACGAGAGCCTATTTTACCCACCCTTAGGTATGTGTAGCGCGCGCCGTCGGCGGCGGAGAAGAAGAGCAGCAGCAGCAGCAGAGAAGGTCTCTCTCGTCGCGCGAAGAGGCTTGCGCCCCCTCGCTCACGAAAAACTGAAGGCGGCGGCGGTGGCGCAGCTGGCTAGCCAAGAGAGAGAAAATTTCGTGAAGCGAGCGCGAGCCGCTGCTTGCCACCCCGCCTGGCGCGCACACACTCGCTCGCTCCGCCGCCGCCTGTGTTGGCTGCCTTTGCCACCACCATCGCCACCTGCAGCGCCAGCGGCGAGCAGCACCGACTCCGAAGCCCGCGTTAGAGACACGGCTAACGCTCGCTGCTGTGCTGTGCTTTTGCCCAAGTGGGGGGGTGGCAAGGACGCCGTGCACGTAAGGGGTAAGAATCGCGCCAGCCGCAAGGTAGGGGCAGCCGATGCGTCGGCGCGGAAGGAGCCGCGCTTTAAGAAGAGAGAGCTTGCGCCCGCTCTCCTTTTCCTTTTCCCCGCGTATACCGCCAGATTTCTCGCGCCCTGCGCACTTTTCCCTTCTTCTTCGGCTCCGCTTGTCTCCCTCTTTCGCGTATACTACTCGCCTGCCTATACACTGGCCTATACCGACTCTCTATAAGCTTACCAACGTGCGCTTTTTCCGAAGGATACACTTAAGACTGGGATGTGTACGTTGCAGGGACAGTTTCCGAAACGGTCTATTGTTTGGCCGACTCGAGGTGTTCGCGATTCGCGCCTGCAGCTTGATTTATCGCACTCGAAATTGTTTCTCGCAGAGGCCAACCCGATTGAAATACCCCACTATTGAATCGCGTTATTGAATATGTTACTTTTTTATACCTTCTCAGATTGTGTGACTCGATCAGCGAGGCAAAAACCCTTCTTACGGACTTTTGAACTACTTCTCGAACTGTAATTTTCGCGTAACGTAATAGCGTCAGATGTGCGCTCAGCACGAATCGGTAAGAACGACTGGTTGTTGCTTTAAAAAAGTGCAGCGAAGCAACCGTGCATATAGCAGCGATGCAGGCCTTTTAAGGGGGTGTAGACTGAAAAGTTTGTAATAAAAAAGAAGGCGAGCGAGCGAGCGAGCGCGAGGGGAAGGGGGCCCTTCTTTTAAAAATGGCCACGGCGCGCCCACGTAACACATGCGTGACTAACAATTCTAGTTTCTCTGCAAGGATAGCGCAGTAGTTTTTATACTTGGCGTGCTTATTCGAAACAAGGGGGAACGGGGGTGGGGAACGAGAGAACATTCGAGTCAATAAAATTTACTTTTTTTTCGCCCCGCGCGTGCTATTTCTTTTCTACCCCTGTCCACCATTGCTTGCCCTGGGTCTGCGACCGCTTACATACTGGTTTGGGATCCTGCGTACATTGTATTATCGACTACAGCACAAATCATCATTATCACCTCGACGTGTATGGCTGCATTTCAGGACTACTGTTACGCGCCGCTTTCGTAAGAAGCTATGTGTGTGTATATAGGAGCTGGGCGCATATATGTAAAGGTATCGATTGAGCAAATTTTGCATAATGTGGTCGCAGTGCACTGACCATTACAAAGTCTAAGGGATGCCGGGCTGCTGCTATCTCGGAGCGCGCGCGTAGAGCATAGGTGATCACCTCCTTCTCTCTCTCTCTCTCTCCCTCTGTCTCTCTTGGCTCGGCTCGGCTCCTTTGGATACGTGGATACGACTGCGATATATACTCTCGAGCGAGTTTGTGTATACACACATCGGACGTACGGCACTACTAGCAGGCACACAGCTATATAAGCCACGTAAGCTATATGCATGCAGACGACGCGGTGTACGCTGTAAGATATACCTACGGAGTTCTAGAGCGCGTATATAACGCAAGGAACGCTGGTCATTCGGTCGGACACATTGCGCCGAAGGGTCTGTAGTAGCTGGACGCGCGCCCGTCTGTGTATGTATATAAACCGCACGCGAGTTCCTCGAGGCCCTAAACACGCTCGAAGGAGTCCAACGCAGCAACAGCTATACCCCTAATGCCTACTGCTGCTGCTGTTGCACGTTCGTATACACATACGCGCGCCTACGTTAAGTACACATCGAGAGAGCGAGAGAGACGACGACGACGACGACGACGACGACGACGACATCGAGCGCTAAGGGAGCGACGTTGGTCATCTTAGGCCACGTAGCAGTGCACTTGTGCTCTTTGCAACCCCTTGCGCCTTAACTCTTACTCCCACTCCGACGACCTTACATACACATCCATTTCCCCCCACTCCTCGCCGTGTACTTGTACACTACGACGACGCTCGGCTTACATCCCCTCCTTAGCTCACCCCCGCTCGCAAGTTGCCACCGCCGTCGTCGCGTCGACACCCCACTTGCCTGCCTTTGTAGACTATACAAGCGAGCGACTATTATAATACGTATATACCTATGTATACTCGCGTATACTTTTTCAGCGCGAGCGCGCGCTCCTTTTTTTCC